CCGTTTCTGATGGTCTTCAATGTCATCCTCCAATCCGGAGTTTCGGGCTCGTGGCATCGGCCCGGCTCTAGCAGCATGGCGAATAAGGCCCCGGTCACGAGCAGCGGCAACAAGACCGCTCGCCTTACCGGCATCTCCGAACGCCCGCGGGCCGGAGTTCTAGAATTCCCACGCATGAACGCCGTGGGTTCTGGAACTCGGGGCACAGCAGCCTTCGAAAAGTTCCGGGAAAGGCGAAGGCTGGATCTCTCCAAATGCTAACTGGCAGCTCATTCCGGGCACGCCGCCCCAGTAGCTGCCCCTCACCCACGCGGATAGCGGCCGCGCAGAATCCTGGCACCTACAATCAGCCGAGGCTGGAAAACATCCACCATGCCGCAAAATGCTTTCGGTACCTGCTTCCGCAACACCGCCAGATCGCCCAGCGCCAGCCCCTTTCTGGGCGGAAGGGGGGGAAAAAGGTGGGGGCGTTGCCAATCCTTTGGGAAGCAAAGGAAGAAGTCGTGGCGCAAAGAGTCAGGCCGAGCGGGCGCTTCAATTATCCCAGAAGTGGTTTAGCACAGATTTCCTCCAAGGGCCTTAAAGAGACAGAAGCCGTTTTCTCTGGCATTCAAAACTTTCCAGTGTGATTTACACTCAAAACTGACTTGAAGGGACAGCTTATTATATTATGATAATCTCAAAGAAGTACGAAGCCTCCCAGGTGATCCCTTGCGGGAAGACTCTCGGTCCCCAGTGGGTTCAATGGAAGCACTGGATGGAAATTCATCAAGGAGAGAAGCAACCTAGAACGAAGGAGAAATTTCCTGACAGTTAAAACAATTAGTGGAACAACCTGTCTCCAGAAGTTGTGAATGCTCCAACACTGGAAGTTTTTAACAAGAGATTGGACAACCACTTGTCTGAAATAGTATAGGGTTTCCTGCCTGAGTATGGGGTTGGACTAGAAGACCTCCAAGGTCCCTTCCAATTCTGTTATTCTGTTCTGTTCTGTGAAACTTTTGTGCATGCCACTCCTTCATTTGAGGGCAACACATTAGTCTGTAGCACCTTTTCCAACCAACAAATTGCATCAGATGTGTTGATAAAGTGTGAGGTGAGGCTCACGAAATGCTTAGACTGTGTTTTGATACAATTTACTAGTTGGAAATGTGCTGCAAACTTTTTTTTTTTTTTACTACCATAGACTAACACGGAACTCGTACAATTTCCACTTGAGGGAGCATTTTGTAGTGTCAATAACTCCCCTACTTGTTTTTCTTAGGTGGAGGTACAATAGAATGGAGGGAGAAGGCTTTTTTAAATCTACTTTAAAAAGCTTTCTTCCTTTTTATTGGCACTTTTCCTTAGCTTGCTAATTTCTAAAAGGCGATGCTTTTTCAGTGTCGCAGGTTGACTCTCATGGGGTCACCTACACATGAAGCCATAAACATTCATCTGGGCTGAGATCACCCGGCTTGTATAGGTCAATTTAATTAGCTAACTTCTGGCCATATTGGTTGAATTTCTGGGTGTTGTAATTTAAAGAACAGTCTGAAAGTATTGATTCCAGCAAGCATTTTTTTTTCTTTTCCCCCCTCATCCATCCCTTCCCATTACTGTCTGCTTTTTCCTTCCCCCCCCCCCAATTCGGTTGTGTCCAATTCTCTGAAACTGCTCAGAAAAGTCCCTGCAGTTTTCTTGACAAGGCTTTTCAGAAGTGATTTGACATTGCCTGGTTCCTAGGGCTGATTAGCTCAAGGTCCCCAAGCTGGCTTTGTGCCTGAGGTGAAATTAGGAGGGTGACCTTGGGCCAGTCACTTTATCTCAGTCCTAGGAATGAAAAATCTTGTTAAGAAAACTGCAAGAACTTGTTCAGGCAGTATCCAAGAATCAGACATGATCGTATGGAAGAAATAAAAAAGTTTCATCATTACTATAGAACAGATAACTGATGGGAGAGACTGAAATTGTCAACCATAGTTTATTTTTTTAAATACCTGGAACTGCACATAATTTCACTTTCATTTCTATTGTAGCATATCATGATAAAATATACATGGACTTTATTTTTATGAAATATTTCTATTTGTGCATAGTTACCTTATTTTTATTAAAGAGGATGATATTTTTTGAAATAATAAACTGAGTATTCAACCGTGGCATGTCTGACTAGTATTCTGTGCTTATTTCATAACATCATAGGAACAGAAAAAAACCTCTGAATCTTTTGATCCAATTCCCTGCCTAGACAGGAATTATTGAATCATAGAGATGGAAGTCATCTTTCATAGAGGTCATCAAGGCCAGTCTGCTGTACTGCAAGATTCTCTAAAGGTAAAGGTTTTCCCTGCCAGTTGTGTCCTGATCTAGGGGTCAATGCTTATCTCTGATTCACAGCTGAAGAGCCAGCGTTGCCTGAAGATGCTTCTGTTGTCATGTAGCCGGCATGACTATACACCAAAAGTGCATGGAACACTGTTACCTTCCCACCAAAGTGGTACCTATTTATCTACTTGCATTTGTATGCTTTTGAACTGCTAGGTTGGCAGGAGCTGAGGCAAATAATGGAAGCTCATTCCGTCATATGGTACTTAAGTCTTGAACTGCCAACCGCCCTGTCAAAGGCCCAATATCTAGTCCACGGGTCTTCAAACTTTTATGACTTGTGGACTTCAACTCCCAGGATTCCTCAGCAGGCACGCTGGCTGAGGAATTCTGGGAGTTGAAGTCCACAAGTCTTAAAAAGGCCAAGTTTGAAGACCCCTGATTTAGCCTATGCTTGAAAATCTCCAGTGAAGGGAAAGCATCCATTCCATGTGGTAGTCTATTTCACTAAAAGTTTTTGCTACAATAAATTCCTTTAAATGTATAATGTATATCTACATCCCTAAGGTTTCATCTCATTAGTTCTTATCTGCTGGAGCAAGTGGGAATAAGTCCTAAGCTTCTACAATGTGACTACCAGTGAAGATAGCCATCATGTTCCCTTTCAGTCTTCCCTTCTACAAGCCTAGGTCTTTTCACCTTCCTTGTAAGATTTGGTTGTCAATCCTTTCACTGCCTTGGTATTCTTTCTTTGGACATGTTCTTAGACAATGCCTTAAAAAAAATCTCCAGTGATGGAGCACTAACAACTCTAAAAGTTTCACTGCTTAATAGTTCTCAGGAAATGCCTCCTTATTTTGAATCTGCATCCTATTTTTTACAGTTTCAACATAGGAGTTCTTGTCCTAACTTTAGGTACTATTAAGAATAAATTCATGCACTCTTCCTGATGACTATTAGTAATGAAAGACTGTCATGTTTCTCTTTAGCTTTCTCTTTTTTAGGTTCTTCTTTTGCTATTCTTCAATAGAATTCATCCTCCATGCCCTAACCATCATTATTGCTCTTCTTTACACTCTTCCCATTTTCTCAGCATCCTTGTGTAGAACAAAACCAGACATGATATTCTAAGTGTAGTCTGACCAGCACATAGAGAAACAATAACTTTCCATGATGTTGACATTATACTTCCATTGGTGCAGCCAAAGAGAGAACTGGGCTGAAGACAGAGCCTTAGCTATCCCACTGTATACCTTCCTTCATGTACACATAATTCAATTAAGGAGCATATATTGAATGAATCCATTGGATGGTGAATTATCCGCATTATTACATTTTAGGTTTGATTAGTGAGGTCGATCTCTTTTTCACATCCTACATTTTTGCACCTGGGAAAGAACACACTTCCCTTGATATCATGTCTTGGTTGCAGATTGCCAATTCCATTCTCTTCAGCAGTGACTCACTCATCTCCACCATATGCCTATAATTCTTTTGGACAGCTGTCAGATTCCTCACCTCAGTGGATACCTGAGCATCTTCCCTTCCCTTCCCCTACAAAGTTTTCTTAAACTAATGCTGTTTTCCAATTTTTATCTCTTCTGAAGTTGCCTTAATCTTTTGCTAACCACAACAATGCCTCCAGCATTGTTAACCTTGTAGTTATTAGCACTTCCACCTTTGAAAGAAAAAACATCCTAATCCTGTCAAGCTCCTTTTTGTTTTGTGGTTCAATTACATTCGGCTGCCCTAGAAATGTGTATAAATCACTTTGGGTTCTCTGCCATTTTAAATAAGAAAGAGAAGAGAGAAACATTGTCTTTGCTGTCTTGAAAGTAAATAAGCTGCTTTCACCTGAAGCTACATGTCCAGGGCTCTTAATCTTTTTCAGCAGATACTACCAAATTATGATGCCTCATAAGTAAATAATGGCAAACGTGTTTTTCAGTCTATGCCGAAAGTGGCCATTCCATGTTTCTAAAATGTGAAAAGCTGTCTATAATGTGCAATGCATTTTTGTAAGAAATCTGTGCAGTTTGATATGTTTCACCTTCATCACATCCTGGATTTAAATGGTTTGGAGAACAGTATATAGTAGTTTATATTTATGTTTATATTGTTTATATAACAGCATGTTTACATTCTATGTTTATATTCTAGGATGTATCTTTATTTATCGTTGCAATTTTATTATATCACTACCATGCATAGTTAGTGGATCTTAATACAAAACTAACGAGAAACTTATTGCTTGTTGCATGCATCATTTTTTATTTGAATATACAAAGTGAATACATCAAAACAGAGCAGATGTTTCTAAAAAGCAGCAAGGTTTTAAAGCCATAAATGTAAAATTTTACAAGTCACTAGAGCTCTTCTTCTAGGGCATAATCCATATTGAAGTATGCTTTTACTAGAGATTTTCACAGGCTTAAAATATACTTATATATATATATATATCTACTTAGGAAGATGTTTCAAATAATTCTATCATTTCCAATTTAGTATAGTGGTTAAAGCATCAGGCTCCAAACTGCCTTAGACACAAAGCCATCTGGCTTTCCTGGGACCAGTCAACTCTTCTTTAGCCCCTAGGAAGGAGGCAATGGCAAACCATTTCTGAAATCTTACCAAAAGTGGAGGGATCAGGCAGCTGCCAGGAGAAGACTGACTCAAAGGCACAAACAATAAGACAAAACAAAATTTCAAATTGTATAGAAACTATTGTTATT